GTTTAATTTGGGCGTTGGTGGCGCACGCCTTTAATCCCAGCACTCAGGACGCAGAGGCAGGTGGATCTCTGTGAGCGAGTGCCAGGATAGGCTCCAAAACTACACAGAGAAACCCTGTCTCGAAAAACAAACAAAAAATTTCTTTCTTTATTTCTTCCTTGACCCAGGGGTGATGCAAATGAGCATTGATCAATTTCCATGAGTTTGTAGGCTTTCTGCAATTTGTGTTGTTGTTGAATTCTAACTTTAAACCATGGTTATCAAATAAGATACAGGGGGTTATTCCATTTTTTTTAATCTGTTGAGTTTTGCTTTGTTGAGTATGTGGTCGACTTTAGAGAGGTTTCCATGAGGTGCTGAGAAGAAGCTGTGTTCTTTTGCATTTGGGTGGAATGTTTGCTAAACCCAATTACATCATAACTTCTGTTAGTTCCTTTATTTCTATGTTAAGTTATTTCTGGTAGTCCTGTCCAGTGGTGAGAGGGAGTGTTGATGTATCCCACTATAAATGTGCGGGGGTTTTATGTGTGATTTAAGTTTCAGCAATATTTCTTTTACAAATGTGGGTGCCCTTGTATTTGGGGCATAGATGTTCAGAACTGAGACTTCATCTTGATGGATTTTTCCTGTGATGAATATGAAATGACCTTCTTCACTCTTTTGATTAATTTTAGTTTGAAGTCTCTTTGGTTAGATATTTGATAGCTACACCAGTTTCCCTATGTCCATTTGATTGGACAATCTTTTTCCAGCCCTTACTCTGAGACAATGTCTGTCTTGATGGGGGTTTTCCTTCTGTATATATGTTTCTCTTATTGGTTAATGAATAAAACCCTGTATGGCCAATGAGGCAGGAAGATAGGCAGGACTAAGAGCAAGGAGAATTCTGGGAAAGGTAAGCAGAGAAAGCCCACCAGAAACAGTTGCCATGTAGGCAGCCAAAGGAGTAACAGGTCAGGACCCTTCTCTGTTAAGATAAGACCATGTGGAAATATTTAGATTGATAGAAATGGGTTAATAATTAAGACAGAGCTAGCCAATTAGAATCCCTAGTCATTGGCCAAAATTTAATAATTAATATAGTGTCTGTGTGTTTATTCGGAGCTCAAGGGCAGCAGGACCAGGCTGTCAAGACAGAGAACCTCCTCAACACTGTCTTAAAGTTGAGGTGTGTTTCTTGTATGCAGCAGAAGGATGGATACTGTTTTGTATTTATTTTGTTAGCCTGTGTCTTTTCTTTTCATAGGCAAATTGAATCATTGATATTAAGAGATGTTATTGACCAGTGATTGTTAGTTCCTGCCATTTTTTGGTTTTGTTGGTGATGGTGCTGTTGTGAAATTATCTATTGCCTGTGTTTTCATGGATGTGACTGAGTTCCTTGGGTTGCAGTTTTCCTTCTAGTACTTTCTGGATTTGTAGATATGCATTGTTTAAATATGGTTTTGTGGTGAGATGCATTGTTTTCTCTTTGTTGATTGAAAGTTTTGCTGGGTATGGTAGTCTTGGCTGCTATCCATGGTCCTTAGTGATTGTAAAACATCTGGCCAGGACCTTGTTGCTTTTAGAGTCTCCATTGTAAAGCCAGCTGTAGTTCTGATAGGTCTGCCTTTATATGTTACTTGCCCATTTTCCTTGTAGCTCTTAAAATTCTTTCTTTATTCTGTGTGTTTAGTGTTTTGATTATTATGTGGCAAGGGGACTTTATTTTTTTCTTTTGTCCAGCCTCATTGGTGTTATGTAAGTCTTTTACCTTTATAGGCATGTCCTTCTTTAGGTTGGCAAAGTTTTCTTCTACAATTTCATTGAATATATTTTCTGTGCCTTTGAACTGGGATTCCTCTCCTTCTTCTATCCCTATTATTCTTTGTATTAGGAATACATTAGATTTAATGTTTTCTTTGATAATATGAACCCATTTCCTTTATCATATCTTTAATGCCTGTGATTCTCTCTTCCATACCTTATAGTCTGTTGGTGATGCTTGTAGCTGTAGATCCTGCTTGCTACCCCAGATTTTTCCAGAATTCCCTCTCTTTGTGCTTTCTTTACTGCCTCTATTTCTGTTTTCGCATCTTGAACCGTTTCCTCCGCCTGTTTGATAGTTTTTCTTGTTTTCTTTAAGAGATTTATTGAGTTCTTTTTATTTTTGTTTGTCTTATCCTCAACTTCTTTAAGGGACTTTTTCATTTCCTCTTTAAGAGCCTCTATAATCTTCATAAAGTAATTTTATGTTTGCTTTCTTGTGTTTCAGCTGTTTTGGAATGTTCAGGTCTTGGTGGTGTGGGATCACTGGGTTCGGGTGGTGCCGTATTGCTCTTTTGGTTGTTGAATGTATTCTTTTGGGGGGGTGTAGTGCAGCATACTTTTATTTTTTTTCATTTTTTTATTATTTTATTAGTTCTAGTTAGGGAACAAGCTTATTTCAAGTCCCTTCTCCTTCTCCCTCCCCTCACTCCCAACCCTCCTCTCCCACCCCCAGTCTACCCCCCACCCCATCCAACCATCACTCCCCAGGCAGGGTAGCGCCCTCAACTGGGGCTGGCCACGCCCCCCCAGACACACGAGTGCAGAGGCCTCCTTGTTGACATCCATGTTCAGGGGTCTGGATCAGTCTTGTACTGGCCTCCCGGACAGCATCTGGGGTTGATGTGCTCTCCCTTGTTCAGGTCAACTGTTCCTGTGGGTTTCTCCAACCTGGTACTGACCCCTTCGTTCTTCATTCCTCCCTCTCTTCAACTAAATTCCCGATTTCGGCTCAGTGTATATCTGTGGATGTCTGTCTCTGCTTCCATCAGCCACTGGGTGAGGGCTCTAGGATGGCTGTTGAATGTATTCTTACACCTCTTCCAGCATTTACTCCTCTTCCAACTGGTATTGGTTATGCCTGTGCGGGTTCTTCCATATTGTGGTTTACACCTGTGACTATGTAGTCTGTGGTTTTTCCAACGGGTGTGGTTTGTGCCTGAACCTATGTCGTCTCCTAGGTTTGGCCACTGGAAGGAAGTTCAGGTGCGTCAGATTGGGTGGTGCAGTGGGTCTTGGAGGGATAGAGTCCAGTGCATGGCAGGGGCGGGTGCCCAGCCTGGAGGTGGGACTCTCACCTGCTTGCAGGCTGGTGAGGGCTCCATAAAATAATCTTAAAATTGTTTTCTTCTGCTTCATCTGCATTGGGATGTTCAGGTCTTGCTGTTGTAAAACCACTAGGTTCTGGTGATACCACGTTTTTCTTTGTGTTGTTGACTGTATTCATGTTTTTTCAAGATTTTATTTATTTAGTATACAGTGTTCTGCCTGCACGGCAGAAGAGGGCACCAGATCTCATTCAAGGTGGTTGTGAGCCACCATGTGGTTGCTGGGAATTGAACTCAGGACCCCTGGAAGAGCAGCCGGTGCTCTTAACCTCTGAGCCATCTCTCCAGCCCCTGTTGACTGTATTCTTGCGCTGTCATCTATCCATCTGGGTTTGGTGTCATTATAGGTTCAGGTATTGATTCTTCCTCTAATCTGTGCAGGTGGTGTTTATGCATCCAGGGGCCCCTGCTGACCCATGCTGGGGCTCTCCTTCCAAACCCTGCATGGGGAGACTGTGCCTTGGGGGCCGCTGATGCTGCAGGGATTCGTGGGAAGGGGAATGAGTAGGGGAGGGTGAAAGGGTCTGCCCGCAGGAGCCTTACCTACTGACAAGCTGCTGAGGCTGCAATCCGCACTGTACTCTCTATCATTGTGTGTGGGGAATTACCTAGTCATCAGGCTTTGGCATAGAGACTTCTCATCGTTTTCCACGAGGGCACTGATGTCATTTTATGCGCAGTAGATTTTTTTCTTTTAACCATGTTGCATGGTCCTGTTTGTTTAGGTGAAAGTATATTTAACATATTTAGATTAAAAAGAAGCTCATTGT